ATTTTTTTTGCGGAATCACCATTCCCCATTTTCCTCTTACCTGAGTGTATAAAAATTCTCGAAGTAAAATCGATTTTGCACGCGAAGAGAGTGTGTCAGGGAGGCCTTCGGTCTTTGTAGGGGAATACCTTATATAACATGGGAAATTGGCAGGAGGTATTTCCTAATATCGAACGCGCGTCCCTTGGAAAAGAATGTCGGTGTGACATTACAGGAAGAGGGAGAAGCATTATAGAAAGAAAGAGACAGAAATGAGCTTTTGCTTCCGAAAATCTCACTGAAACAAAGGACCGTGCGATAGATGGGGGATAAAACTCTTTTTTTATTTCTTTTATGTACTTTTTCGATTAAGAAAATCGTATCGCTAGTGTTTATGAAGTGCACTATTTTTTACGAGACGCCATGACCTGAATCGTTTCTGCTCGTATGATCGTTGAAACCAATCGCATGAAATAAAAAATAAGCGTGTCTATTAGGATATAATAAGCAGTAATTATTACATTATTCAATTTTGTCTTAATTAACTTGCCAAGTAAAAAAATAAATACTCTATGAATAAAAATTATTTTATTAAATTAAGACACTACATAATGATGTGCCAAATCAACTTACTAGGGTTAACTTTATGAAATATTTTTGAACATTTGATATGTTATTGCCTTAATTAATTTTATTTTCTTAACTTATTGTTAGTTTTAAATCAAAATAAACCTACTGGAATTATAATATAATTCCTATAACATTAGATTGTCGCACATCAATCAAAATCTGAATTTGGAGATTAAAATCTTATCCTAAAAATATCTCTTTCGATTACAAACAAAATTGTAAAAACTCGTCTTTAAAACGGAGTACTAACATTCCAGTAAAACAGCTGAGGTATATTCCGCGATGTTTGTTAAGCTATCGCGAGACGTTTGCTTTTCTGTGATAAATCTTTCATTTCTCCCGAGAAAACGCAGTCTATCTTTCGCGCTTTTATAACGATAAAGTAGAGTAAAATATGCTATCCATCGAGACAGTGGGACACGATAATAAAATATTAATATAAGAATGCCAGAACATGTTCGCGCTGGAAGAAGTAAATCTCGGATAAGATTAAAAAGAAGAAGAAAGTGTGTGTACGAGACGCTTTTGAAACGGGAACGAGATGACAAAGTTCTTCGCCGATGTATATCTGCTGACTATTTGATAAACTTTGATATTGATTGCGTAAGTATGGTGAAGGACGTGCGCACGTGTGACATCTAAATTTATGAGGAAGTTACTTCTATGACCCGTAAACAAACACTTATGAGTGCTGAATTATACATGTCTGTTTTAAAAAAACCGTATTATATATATGACTTGCATGAATAAATGATTTTGTCACGTATTTTTAGAAAACTGATATAATTAATTTCAAACGGTTCTTATTTAAATGAAACATCGTGAACGTGCGTACTTTCGTTGGGTACGAATTAAATTATCGTTTTACAGAACGATTTATTTCGCGTTCTCTTTTTCGCGCAGTGTTTTCACAATAATCGATTTAATTAAATTCTCAACAATAGTTATCGTCGGAAGTTCGCCGATCGATCCCGTTTACCTGCGAAACTTTAAACGCACACGCGTTATGGCGTAAATATAATTCTGCGCAACGAGCTGCTCTATCCGCGATAGACGCGGTGCATTAGGCACACCCCGTACACGAACTCCCGATAATGCACGGGGGATAAACGTAACGGAGAATTTAAGACAAATATTTGTTTGCCACATAACATGGAAACTTGTCGCACTGAAGCTGGATATAGGGTAATCGATGTGAAGATAAAATTAAAGTTTTAACAAAATGGAAGAGAGAAAATTATGTGTCTTCCACAAAAGAGAAATAAATAAGTTCTAATATTACTATATCTTTTCGCTCGCTATATAAGGAAATTTTTATTTTATAATGTACATAAGATCAAAAGAGTTAATATAAAATTAAATATAAAATTATATTACTTTATTAGGTAAGAAATTAAAAGTATCTTTATTTTTATATTTTTTAAAATTTTTTATTTCTTTGTCACACAAAACAAAATTATATATTATTAAAAAATTTAATATCGAGGAAATAACGAAATTATTATTACAGTCTGAAACTTATCTTATATACACAAGATTCCCTATAAATTTAACGAGAAATAAATATAACGGGAAATTTAAGATTTAATAACATTTGTTTATCCCGTAACGCGATACCCTGTCACAGCGGTACCCGACATCTCGGACCAGATCGGCGTACGGGGGGGGAAAGGGCAGAGGATGAGTTAAACTTTTAACGAGCTTTCTTCCTTTCTCCTCTCACGGTCCTCTTAAAGTTCCTTGAGAACAGCGTGCAACTCTCGCGCTACCCGCGTTTCTGTTTCATCATGTTTCCCGTCGACGAATGCCGAACTTCCTCCTATCGTGCGATGACACAGGTCTGCATTTATCCACGACCGTCCATCCATCACAGGCGACGAAGCTTCTCCGCGAAGAGGCGCGTGATTTATCTGCTTGGTGAATGCGTCGGTCAAAATCGCTTGGATGAGAAAAGCTGGCACGCCCGCGACGTTTGCGTTCCTTTCTGTTGTACAGAATTAAGCACAGTTCTGATAATTTTTTCGTTTTCTCTCGGTATCTTAAGGCTGATTTGTTCTTTCGATAAATTTCAGCTGATTGGCTCTCTCGCTCTCGCCACCGTTCACTCTCTTTTTCGCTCTTTCTTTTGTCCATTAGATAAATTACCACATGGTTTACTGTTCCGAAGTTGGAACAATCAGCCTTAAAGGTGATAACCATTGGTTAGTTTAAAAACATTAATTAATCCTTAATTATGTAATAATTAAACTGCAAAAAATAAAATGTTAGTCTTGACTTAAAGACACATAATGCATGAACTTTCTGAGACATACATATTAATTCTAATTTTTGCATGTCTCAGAAAATCCACTATATGTCTTTAAGTTAAAATTAACATTTTATTTTTTACAATGTAAAGTATTTGTAATAATAAAATATTTGTAATAATAAAATACGTAAAATATTTGTAATAATAAATATGTACTCCAAGACATATTTCGCATCTTTTGAAGATGTATATTATATGTTACTCAAAGCATTGTCAAAAACATAAAGATTTTATACAGATTGTTCTATTATTACGTTTAAATATCTGTGTAAAATTTGAGCACAATTCTCTTATTAGTTTAAAAATTGTTAAATTTGTTTGCTTGCCTTGATTCTTGTATGTGAAACGCATTTTATAATATTTATTTGCAAATTGTATGAGGTCATAGCATTACGAATTAAATCAATTTTTTACTTACATTAATATTTATAAATACTAATAAATATTCGTGCGAAAATTCATTTATTCGGATTCATTTACTCGTTTAAAAGTTATTTATCTAAAACTGCAGCAAAATATGATCATTTCGTTGCATGAAGCAATTACCTATAAACTTATTTGTTGTTTTATTTTTTTACAATAAATTTCAGAGCGTATTTATTGCAAAAATTTTTTGGCTTATATTAGCAGATATTGATTTTTTAGCTGATTTTTTTGACTGATCCTTCTAGTTGATGTACTGTCTAGTTAAAACATTCTTAACAAAAATGAGTAATTGAATCGGAGGATAATACTGTATTCTATTGGTGTCATATTTATTGTTGTTACGAGTACATTTCTGTAGCTTTACTCGAATTTATAGCGTACAGACGTGTGCTATAAATTTTTCTTTTCTTGTCATCGACTATGCTATAGTTTAGAAAGCACTTTTGTATTTATTAGGACGTGTATGGAGCTCTCGCAGTGTCTGTCACGCATTATAGTCGAATGACGAGCATAGCGAAAAATAATATATAACCTCCTATCTTCCTTTCTTTTTTTTCTTCATCTCTTTCTTTTCCTTTCAAAGCACGCTTCCGGCACGTGGCCGAGATTCCGCCGCGATATCGCGAGAACGGCAATTATTTCGTTGCAAGAATTTTCCTGAAACGTTTCCGGAATTTTCGCGCAAAGTTAATGGAATTTGAAGGAGAAAGTTACGAACACGGCCTCGAACACCTGCCGTAATAAGATATTTCGTGTGCGTGCGCGCACACGTACAGTTGTTAGTGGTGGCATTCCTCTCGAAATAATAATAATTTCATGAAACTTCGCGTTTCTTCCGCAGGGGTGCGACTGAATAATGTTATCAAATGTACCGAGCTTGCATGTTGTGTATAAACCGTAAAGACTGAAACAAATGGAGGCTTTCTTGTTAGAAAAATGTTGTAAGCTCCTTTCTTTATTTTTACAGATACTTTTGATGGAGTATTTCATAAAACATTTATAATATTAAACAACATACCTGTATGTTTTTTTTTTCATTACATTACTTTTATCAGTGACATAATTGTAACTAATACCCTTAATGAATATTTGGAAAGAAGTAATTTATTACTTAGAAAAATTGAGAATATGAAGAAAGATTTGAGTCGTACTTGTATAATGAGTTTTCAAGACGGTGACAATTACAAAAACTTATTAGAAAAGCTTTAATTGCTATAAATGAAGTTCTATAAAACACAGTGTCGAAAATAAGAGACTAAAAATAAAATAGCGCTATCGCAACTACTATCGTAACTAACGATAAAAATGCTCGCAGTCACGATTTGCTCTCTCGTCTCTTCCTCTCCTTGAATATTGTCCGTGATTCGCGTATTCGACATTCGGCGAGTTTTCGTGCCAGCAACACGTGATATTCCGAGACTCTCCTACATTCCGTCGCGTCAAAAACCCGCATGCGTGCGATGCATAAGGACGAGCGACGAGCAAAGGAATGCGCTGTGCTGTGCCGTGCCGTGCCGTGCCGTGCCGCGATTTCTTGACGAGAGCAGGATGCGCGGGCCGATCGGCCGATCATGCGCGAGCTTTTCGAACTTTCGACCGACTGGAGATCGGCGGTCTGTGTTGAGAGAGAGCAGCCAGTGTAGTCAGTGCAGTCAATGCAGCCGGTGATTCCGTGGACCCTCTCTTGGAGTCGGAGGCGTCGATTCTGTTAGCGGGAAAGTGCCGCTGCGAGGGGTGCGTTTCGAAAAGGCACTTTGCCGCTCCAGGAGTGGCTAGACGTATCTGTGGTGGGGAGATATTATAGCGAGAGCGGAGCCGAGAGGGTAAGGAGAGAGAGAAGCAGCAGGGGGTGAGATAAGCAGTCAGAGCGAGAGAAAGAGGAAAGAGAGTGAGCAAACGAGCGAGAGAGAGAGAGAGAGAGGGGGGAAGCAGGTAGATAGAGAGAGGTCGCGGAGAGAGGGAAGGGACGGTCCGGAGGGATGGAGACCGTGAGAGCGTGAGAGGGTAGCGATTGTGCTACAGTCGCACCGCGACACCCCCACGAGCGAAATCGCGCGCGGCAGCCCGCATTTTCGTGTATAAAAGCCGTGTACGTGTATCACGAAAAAGGACCCGCGAACAGTGCTATGCTTTTGAGGCTGCAATTGGGAAGGTGTCCTCCATCTTCGTCATTGGCTTTATCCTCATCGTTTTCTTTCAAGTGAGAGCGTAAAAGCCATACGGAGTGTAGCGCTTCCAATGGGGTGAGTTTTATATAAGTGTTTTTAAATGATGTATATTTTTTTATTTTATAGATAATAATTTTCTACTGTAGTAAAATAAATAACATTTTTAACATGGCGAATTTAAAAAAAATCGAATAGTTTTGACAAAATAAAAGTATGAATAAATAAAATAAAATTTTAATTTTAAGTTTGCTTAATAAAATTTCTTGCGGTATATGGAATTAGATATTGAAAGTTAAAAAATTGATACGATGGTATCTGATCAAATATTTACTAAGAAAATATCGACTTTATTTTTTTTGTTTTCGAAAGTGCTTGTCTTTTAGAATATCGTACTCGGAGATAGATATGGAGACAGATTATATTGAGACAGATTTCAGCAGTATATATTCAGAGTTAAGATTAAGATTCAATAATATTTTTTAAAAAGTTTATTAAGAATAAAAACGCAATACATTATCCTGATTTTTTAAATAAATTAATTATAGGTTTTTATTTTGTATATTTTTATTGCATACTATTTTTTATATAAATTTGTTTCTAATAATAATAATTAGAAATTAGATTGAGTTTAATTAGAAACTGCGCTTATTGTAAATAAGTTGCTTTATTTTGTATGCCGATAGCAGATTTTAAATTGTTGTTGCTTGAAAACGAAATGACCATTTTAGTTACTATATATTTTATAGCGATGGCAAGATTAATTAAAGATATCAAATAAATAAAATAATTGGTGCATTTATCATTGAGGAAGATTTTATGTTACGTGAGTTAATTTTTATTTGTCTCGTGATTTATTTTTACCGAAATGAATCCTTTATGTGTCTGACGTTTTAATATTTTTTAATATCATTATTTATATATCGTTATCTATCGCTTTTTTAAGAACATAAATTCCAATTATTGGAATTAAATTTTTTTGAACTTCCAATTCAATACGTTGATATATTGAATTTACACAAAATTTAATTTGGTTCATTGGAGGAATGAAACTTTAAAATAACATACTACACAGTTTTCTCATTCCTTTACGTAATATTAGAGAAGAGATTGCATCTCTCTTCCCTCCCCCCTTTCTCTCTTTCAATCTTGATGAGCTTGTTTCTTAAACGCAGCAGGAAGCTAAGATATCAAATGTATTAGTTCTTATTTAGATACTTGTACTAATTTATTAAATTCCTTAGGAAGAAAATAATTTCGTTGGAGATTAACTAGACGGAATTCGCAGCGATATAATGTAGATTCCGCATTCTTTCTTGGAGGAAAATTAATTTCGTAGAGGCTCTTTTAACCGGTCGGAATTATAAACGATACAGCGCTCGCTATTTCCGAGTCGAGCACTATTAGATGTACCGAGTATGCGCAATTTTTCCGCGATAAGATCGATCGAAGGATTATTTCTCGGAATCGTTTGTTAAAGCGTCGTCGAGGTCAGTGCAAAGGGAAGGTCGCGGGCCTTTGCGCGATTCAACGGCGACCTGTTGATGATCTTTCTCCGACTCGGTGCGTTTCAAGAAATACCCTCAGGAATTACGTGCACGTTTATCCTTTTCCTTGTGAGCAGCATACATAGAATGGTTTAGAAATAGCATTATTTGACTATAGTCAAAAAGATGTTAACATAATGTTGAAGGATTTAGAAGATTGTATCTTTTTTAATATTGAAATATATTTTAAAATGCAAGTTTTTATGTGGAAATTTAATTAATTATATTTACAAGATTGCAAATAAATAATGAAATATCCTATTTTTGTTATTTCTAAATTGAAATTGTTATTTCTAAAATGAGCTGAGATAAATAGTAATTTTTAACATTTGATTACAAATATATTTACAATTAATATTGGAAATTAAGAAATTTTAAATTAGTTAAATAATTTATATATGAAAGATACATACAATAATGATTTATTATTGTAATAATGGATTTTCTATATTCGGCAGTATTCATTAATAGACAAAATAGTTTTTGGAATTAATTTTATAATTAATTTAATGTATAATAATTATTTAATGAATAGAAAATTGATATTTGATGTATAGTAATACAATATATCTTCATTATTTGCTCATTTATATATATATTGATTTAATTTCTTTGAAATACTTGTTTGTATTCGATAAAAACTTGTTGAAGACGCGGCAACTTGGCCGCATCGATGGAGTCACCTGTTCGATTATCAATATTGATCATAGTGCCTAAGTTGTCAAAGTTGCGAGAGCTCCTTTGACAGAATCTAATTGTTATGAAAGTTTCATTAATTCCGATCAATGGGATACTATTGCAAAAATAATATTCGCGCAACGAGAAGTAATAACTCGCTCGATCGCGTCTTGTTTTTATCGTTGGTCGCAGAAATCTGTTTGCGTATTTTAGGTATCAACCATGTTAAATATTGAGCTATTTTAATTCTCGTACTCCGATTAGTTTTTTATCGATCCGCAGATGCAAATATTGATGATAGGTTTGATTGCAATGTAATAAAAAATTCGTCGGTTTAAAAATATACTCTCAAAATCTGAATCAGTGGATAGTCACTAATTACTCAGTGGCATACTTGGCACTGATAATCAGTAAAGTTCAACTAAAAAAGGAAGAAGCATTAACTAAAATACTGATATTTACATGTTAATTTCAATTTTCCAATATCATATTCATTGAATTTATGTACTCAAACAAGATTAGTTAGATTACATAATAAAAATCAGCTAGATTAGGGATCTCACATTTCATTCACTGATACCAGTGGCATAGTGATTATCCATTAATTTAGATTTAGAGAATATATATGCTAATCTGAAAAACTTACATTTTTTGTTATATTGATAATTAAAATAATGCAAACATTATTTTAGCAATTTTTTCGATTTGAGAATATTTAAGTAACATACATGTACGTGATATATTTAACTAGATTTCACTTTTATTATATAAAAAAATATTTCAGTTTCATAATACATGTCTATATTAATCAATAGAAATTGATTATGAAATATTTATTATATATTAATATCAATTTCGTCAAGATTCTATTTTCCCCTCTATCGTGTTTTTCATTATTTTTTATTATGGAAGTGAAACAAGTTAAAGTGTTGAAGAGAGAAATCATGGATCTAGATAAATAACTTAAACTATCATAAATGGATGCAACTGCATCGATGCACGAAAACTTCTTTCAAAACTCGCTTTCCCGATTCCTTCTATATAGAAATATATGTAAGGAATTTTTTCTCGGCCTGCAGCACCGTCATTCCAAGCATCTGTGCGTCGACTCTGGTGAACTCGTCTTTGGAGTGCTGCCAATGATTTTTGGCTGACTCGTAGAACCTGTTGATGACTCTGCGATTCGTGTATTCCACACTTCATCTACAATCGAATAGATTTATTTGTCGACGGTGTTCGACAATTGTTCTTCAGTGTCATAGTCGTAGAATAAGACACATTTATTTAGTTTTTCCTTTTCACATCTTTAATTTTGTACATTTTCAAGAGAGTTCTAAAAGCATCGCGTTGTGAGAGAGGCATAATTGCGCAAAATTTTATACTCGAAAGCTCGCAAATTACTAGAGTAATTATACTATTGAACTAAACGGAATTAAAAATGCAAACGTTTTTTATCAATGCAATACGATGCAATTTTTTTATCAACTCATCAGTCCGCTTTGATTGCACGAGAGAGAAGCACGTTTACATTTCGTCCAGCTCGCTTTTTTTTCTTTTTTAATTTGTTCATTTTTCCGAGAGATATCCACCGAGCTCATGTTTCTTATTCAGCACATGTTCGCAGTATTTTTAGGTCTAATAGGACCGGAGAGCTCGCGAGACGTTCCCTGGTTCTATCTTTTCGCCGTTTGCCGCTTTTCCAATTTTTCGTGTACACGATCCGCACGGCGTGCCAATTTTGTATGGTCGTAACTTTTCCGTATCGTTTGACCGTCGCAAAGCATCGGTTTTTCTCGATTTTAACGCCGCACCGTCCGATCGTTACAAATAGTACGTGGCGATGCATTTCCCGCCGATCTGTCGGGAAAACATTTTCCGAACTATCGGCGGAAACGCCTGCAAAATCTCCGCGGGCCGATTAGTACTGCGGGCTGTGTTTAATTTCTCAGGAGACAGTATAATTACAAGTGAATTAGATACCGTTTTCAGGCGCAGGTGTAAGCATGGTGCATTATTTCCGGTAATAACGTAACATTTTGTTATCCGATAGTTAAATATGTACGCTTATTTGTTGCGACAAAAGTTACGAGTGGAGATAGAAAGATAAAAAGCCGTTTATAAAACGGCTCTTTACCTTGTTAACTTGAAATAGAATTGCGCAGGAAGAGCGATAAAGCTTAAGCGATGGGTACAATTTTTATCTGTGAAATGTGATTTTGAATATCTTAACTTTAAAAGTTAAACTGTTTATTTTATGATAATATGCTTGTAACTGAAATAACGTTACGACTGGCTTTGTTTTTGTTTCGTGCGTGCTACGGGTAATCCCCCGTATAACATGCACAGTTTTTTGGCTGTGCTTAATGAAATTCTACTGTCTACTGCAGCATCCTAATGAGATGCTAGCGTACAGTGTACTTAATCCGCATGAGAGAAACATTTACATTCTAAAGTGCAAATTCATTGTTTCGCGTGCGCGGTTAGTATTCGCGGCCGTTTCGCAGAGTCCGCCGCAAGATGGATTTTCTTAAATTTCAAACCATTCTTCTTGGGAATCGCAACTATCACCGCGGGTGTCCGACAATAATCAAGCCAGCATTTTTGTGCATCTTCCCTTTTTTTTTCCTGCGACACAGACGTTGGCTCCCAAGTAGGATGCAAAGATGACGACGAGCTTCTTAATTATTTCTCTCACGCTGCGCGCGCGTCTCAAAGATCCGAGACGTTTCTTTTATCATCCTTTTTATTTATCTCTTCGCGGCTTGCATTTATTTTGAATTTAATTCCATGCATTTCATTTTTATCGCAGCTCGAAATGAATGCTAACACGTACACGATCATTTAGTTTTTCTT